TCGCGCAGGAACGACCGATGCCAGTTTGTCATTGCGGCCTACGCCCCTACAAACTGTAGCACTGATTCGGTGAAAGATAATTTCTATCGGCAACTTCACGATCTTTTTAGTTAGAGACGAAGCACGGATACTATGGTGTTGGCTTGCGATCTAAGAGACCAAGTCAAAAAATTGTCGTCTGATGAGCTTCATCTGGGCGGCAAACATGGTGCAGGCTCCCGTAATGATAACGGTGAGCGACTACTACAGCTGTGTGAAGACGCGCGTCTCTTTCTCGCGAGCACAAACTCTAGACACAGCCCCCGCAGAAGCGTGACTTGCCGCCCACCAGCTTCGCACCAGCCATGGACGCAAATCGATCATATCGCGATCAGTTATGGCTGGAGATGCAGTGAGCAAAACTGTCGCTCGATTTGGAGCACGAGCGTGGACTCTGACCACGCACTTGTTTGCGCTGACCTCCGGGTGCGTTTCGGTGAAGGTCTGGGACGTCGATGTGAACGGATTGACACCAGCCAGCTGGCGAAGCCAGGTGTTCTGAATGTGTATCAAAGTGCACTGACATCTGGGCTGAGTAAGCGCCCACTGAACACTGTTGAAGCTCACTGGTCGCATATTCGTCACACGTTACTAACAGCAGGCATGTCTTCACGTGTCAAATCAAATTGCCAAACTGAAAATTGGGTCTCTACACAGTCTGTGGAACTTATGGATGCTTGTAGACGTATTCCGGCTGGAAGCGAATACAATGAGGCCCGAAAAAATCTCAGCTCAAGACTACGTGTTAGCCTGAAGAAATATCGCGAAGCCTGGTGGTCTCATCATGTCTCGGAGATGGAAACAGCTGCTATCGTTGATAATCATCGTAAGTTAGCCCGTCTGATACGGGAAACAGGCACCAGGAGACCTGGTGTTAGTGAAACCATACGCGACGAGAGTGGACAGCTGATCCATAGCTTGTCAAAACGCTTGGAGCGTTGGGCCGAACACTTTGCAAGGCAATTTAACCCACCAGAATTATCGCTTTCTTTTTCGGGCATTGAGCGCTCTTCTCCCGGGCCGTCTCCTTAGATCCGCCTTCACGCGCAAAGGTCGAATGTGAGAGCAGGCTGTTGAAATTGCGCAAGGATGCAGGGACAGACAGGGTTCCCCCAGCCCTCTTCAAATTCGGGGGACCTGCTCTAATAGATGATTTACACGAGTTGCTAGTGAAAATTTGGGAGCAAGAGACTGTCCCGACAAACTGGAGCCGCTCCGTAATGGTTCCGATTTTTGAAGGAAAGTTCCCGTTTGGAATGCGGCAACTACTGAGAGATCAATCTGATCTCAATTGCCTCTACATTGGTTGCCTCTGTCGCTCTCCACAGACTGAGTGGCACTCGTGAAAGCCAGATCCGTGAAGTGCAAGCCGGGTTTCGTCGAGGTCGGGGCTGCATCGACCACATCTTCCCCTTTCGTCAATTTTTGGAGCATGGCCATGTTTATTGGCGACCCACCGTTGGCGTGTCTCTTGACATAAAAGGTGCATCCGACTCAGTCGATCGATTAGGAATGACTGCTGAGGAAAGGTGTGCTCGATAAATGCGTAATTATCAAAGCGTTGTACGCGCATAGTTCGAGCAGAGTGAGGGTTTATGGCAAGCTGTTGCCATCCTTCAGTATCACCAGCGATGTGAGACAAGCTTGCCCGCTGTCACGTATCCAAGTTAACTTCGCAGTTGACGAAATCATGCAAATAACATTCCCTGGACACGACCTAGAAGGTGTGGAGAGGCTTCTTGACTTGCAGTATGTGGACGATATTGTCTAAATCTGTGACAGCTCGCAAACATGCCTAGCAACATTTGACCGATTAGCACGGGCTGTCCATCGTTTTGGGCTATGCTTTGCTCCATCGAAATGCAAAGTACTTCTCCAAGATTGGCATGGACGCACCCCCAAACTAAAGCTTGATGGGGATAAGCTTGAAGTCGTTCAGGAATTCAAGTACCTGGGCAGCTATATTAGCGCCCATGGGATCGAAGACGAGGTTACGAACCGTATAGCAAAAGCTCGAGGTGCTTTTGCCCATCTCCGCCACTTGTGGCGCAGACGCGACATTAGTCTCGCCCTGAAGGGTAGAGTTTATAATACAGCTGTCCGTTCAACTCTCCTATATCGTTTTGAAACCTGGCCCATGAGGTCGACAGCCATAAAGAGGCTCGTCACATTCGATCATCGCTGCCTTCGCAGCTTAGCTCAAGTCTGGTGGGAGCACTGCATGAGCAATGAGCGTGTTCGGCATCGCATATTTGGTGCAGGAAGAGCGAGTGCACCGCTCCGCACTAGTATATCACGCACTAGGCTCCAATGGTTGGGCCACGTGTTGCGTATGCCAGCACACCGATTTACGCGACGTGCATTGTTTGCGCGCCGGGGGTGCGGTTGGAAGAGGAGGAGAGGCCAAACGATGACTTGGTCGAGAGAAATGAAAACGCTCACTTCGAAGTTGGCGTCGGTTGGTGCATCCCGATTGCCTGGCTGGGGTCCTAAGGACGATGAACACGTTGGGTTGGACACACTCGCTGATATGGGTAGGAGCCGGCCCCAATGGCGTTGGTTTTTGAGTTTTTTTGTCCACCCCCTCCAATCCCGATCCCAAGCAAAACGCATAATATAATATTTGACGTTATATTTCTGCGGTGTAATTTTTAGTCCCTTATGTACTTTGTATTATCACCATCCTCCTTCTCATCATCATCATCATCATCATCATCATCATCATCAGCATCAGCATCAGCATCAGCATCAGCATCAGCATCAGCATCAGCATCAGCATCAGCATCAGCATCAGCATCAGCATCAGCATCAGCATCAGCATCAGCATCAGCATCAGCATCAGCATCAGCATCAGCATCAGCATCAGCATCAGCATCAGCATCAGCATCAGCATCAGCATCAGCATCATCATCATCATCATCATCATCATCATCATCATCATCATCATCATCATCATCATCATCATCATCATCATCATCATCATCATCATCATCATCATCATCATCATCATCATCATCATCATCATCATCATCATCATCATCATCATCATCATCATCATCATCATCATCATCATCATCATCATCATCATCATCATCATCATCATCATCATCATCATCATCATCATCATCATCATCATCATCATCATCATCATCATCATCATCATCATCATCATCATCATCATCATCATCATCATCATCATCATCATCATATCATCATCATCATCATCATCATCATCATCATCATCATCATCATCATCATCATCATCATCATCATCATCATCATCATCATCATCATCATCATCATCATCATCATCATCATCATCATCATCATCATCATCATCATCATCATCATCATCATCATCATCATCATCATCATCATCATCATCATCATCATCATCATCATCATCATCATCATCATCATCATCATCATCATCATCATCATCATCATCATCATCATCATCATCATCATCATCATCATCATCCATACATGTCAGCTAGAGATGGTAAAACACCTCCGCTATTGTACCGCAATACATAAAGGAAATACATACAAACATACAATACATAAAGGAAAAATAAATACGACAGTTGAATGCCAGCTGAGCTACCAGCAACGGATACGCATCGTTCCGGTAAGCTACTAGCCGGCTACTAGGCAAAAACAAAAATTTAATTACGTTTTACCCTACGAAATAAGATCGTAGATGGAGGGGGAGGCTAAAGGGATGGGGAGGGACAAAGAAACTCACAGCAGGAACGCCACTGAGGTCGGCTCCTTGCCATATCAGCAAGTGTATCCAGCCAAACGTGTTCACCGTCTTTTGGACCCCAACCAGGGAGCCGTGAAGCTCCAACTGAGGCCAGCTCCGAAGTGAGGGTCTTCATTCCTCTGGACCAAGTCATCGCTTGGCCACCTCTCCTCTTGTTCCACCCACACGCACGTCGAGGGAGTCGGTGGGCTGGCATGCGCAACACGTGGCCCAGCCATCGGAGCCTGTATTGCGACACATTAGCCGAGGTGTGTTTCTCACCAAGAGATGAATTTCTCTGGTCATACGGATTGTGTACATAGGAACGCTGGGAGTCATCCTCCGCCGCCGCAGTGGTAGTGAAGAGAGCAAGTGATTTCAAGTTATTGCCCTTGACAATCGGCATCGTTGTGTCCGCAAAGAAATGGTGCGTAGTCGGGCACTAGGCGGTAATGATGCTAGTTTCAAACAGCGACAAATGGCACGCATAAGCTGTATTGATCCTCAGACGATAATTGTTGTACCTGCATGCTCCTGGTCGGTCAAGCTTCCTGGTTGACTCACAGATTCCGTTTCAGCCTCCTAACGTTATCGCAATCGCCGTCAATGAAGAATATGCTTCAGAATTTCAGTAGGTCTATTTGTATTTCAAAAGATGTAGTGTTCAGGTTGCTGAGGGATGATAATGTTGTACTCAGGACCTCCTTTGTAACGCAAGGCAGCAGGAATCCTATTTCGCAACCAATCGATGTCAATAGATCTATCATGTAAAAGTTTAGCACGCAGGATACCCCGACAAGTCCGTAATCTAGGAAATCGTCTGCCGATCCTTCCAGCAAAACCGATAGCGTATCAGAGCACGAGCAGAATCGAAGCAAATGTTAGGAAGATCAAGCGGTGACAAGCTGGTCAGCTACCGGAGGACGCAGTGGCCCACCGACGTACAATGCGCCTGCAGGCAGTACGGCTAAGAAACAGCCAATGTTCAGCGCACAGCTATACAAAGCGCCCAACACTACTCATGGGCCCAAAAGTAACATCAAGCTTGCCAAACAGCTAGCGAGCTCAGATAATATGTTTGTGCAAGCCTAATCCTGACAGTTAGAAAAGTGTGCAGTGCCGTACAACTGAATGGAGCGTATTGAAAAGTCAAAACCAGGCTTAGAGTGATATAAAGTGCACAAAGATATCGAGAATGAAATAAAATACTCACCTTGAGGTACTCCAACTTGATGTACTCTTCCATTGGATGGTTTTTGAGGACGCGAAAAACGATGGTGATGATGTCCTCGGCAGAATAACCCAGTGTCCAGAGGTGTCGCATGATCTTGTGGGATGCAGACAAATCGCCTTTCAGACAATCATCTAACATCTGTTTAACCAACAGTGGATGGGGCTCATCGCAAACCTGAAGGGCCGAGGACGAAAGAAATCGTTTCGAGATAAGCGTTGGATAAAAATGATATTACTGATAAAAGACGAGTAGTGGGTAAAATAATATGTTGCATGCAGCATTGGTGGGTAGAGCGAGCAGTGAAATAGGTGGTGGGACGATGCGATACCTTGAAGACGTTTTCACTGGTGACCATTTCGAAACCTTGATGCGTTGATTGCAGGTTGTTTAAAGCCTGTATAATGAAATAGAACAAATGAGGTATTAGGATACTGCGCTTTTATCACGGAAGAAAAAAGATTGAAGGCTTCCGTGGATTTATTGGAAGAAAGTTTTGCTGTGCAAATGATTTATTTCCGAAACTAAACTCCAACTATGCTTTAGGTTATTTAATGTACGTAGATTCTGTGAAATACTGTCAATGGGGTTAGAAAAGCAAGTTCAGAAGTGAGAAAATCGGATTTGGTTACCGCGCACACAATTGTGAGCTATCGCAAGAATTACGCAAAAATTGCACACAGGTCATTGACCGCGACGATATTTGATGTGATAAGTGCTGTAATTGCAGAATGCAATCAGATGCGAAAAGATGGCACGTAGACTGTCATCACTCACCGTCGGTTGGATCGCTGGACTATGAAGATGGAGCGTTGCAGGTGTAAGTGCGATACAAAAGAGAGCATCGGTAATTGATATGTTGAGTTTATGAGCATGATGGGAAAACGGGACGATGGGGCATCACAGCAATGGACGAGATTAACTGAGAAATGGTGAGATAAGCAAACAACAAATTGCACCATCCCTGAGATCTAGGGGATGGTGAGGACGACGCCAGTCAAAAAGGAACATAAGAAGTACGAAACAGTGGTATACACACTTGCGTTGATGAAAGTCTACAGAAGACGACTGTCCCTCGGATTTTCACAAGCACACATGATGGGGGCGACGAACAGTTCACCTACTGATTGCGTAACTTTAAACAGGACGCCGTAGCTAACCACACACATTTCATCTTCATTGGATAGAAAATGCATTAGAATTGATCTTGGGAGTCGTGACAGATTAGTGTCGCCCAATCTGCGGTTTCAGAGTGGCGTCCGCCAAAAATGCGTTCACAGTGAGTGGTGCCTATGTTGCAAACGGCACGCACCCTTCACTGTAGTGACCTACGAGAAATGACGCTTTCCCCTTCCAACTTCTCAATGTCCCAATAATTTCTACATCATCCACATTCATTGGAGGAAACACACGAACTAATCAACAGTGTGTTGATGGCATTCAACTCACCAAGGAGGAGGAGAACAACAAGCAGTTACCATTCTTAGACGTTCTCATATGACGGACTGGTGCTGGACTATCGGAAACAACAGTCTACCGAAAATCTGCGCATACGGACCGGATCCTCAAATACGGCAGCAATCATCCGGCAGGTCACAAACGCAGCTGCGTGCGAACCATTTTCAAGCGAGCGCAAACACATTTTAGCACACCGCAGCTGAGACGGGAGGAGGAAGACCATATCTTCAGTCTGCTCAAGCGGAACTCGTACCCAAAAGGCTTCATTCTATGCTGCCTCGCACCACAAAAGGCTGCTCAACACACCTCGACAAATGCAACAGCTGAAAAGAGAGTAACTCTGTTCTATATCAATGGAATCTCTACAATGGCAGCGAGGCTTTTATTGCCTTTTGGAGCCAAAGTTGTACACCGGCCAACGGAAACAATTCGCAGTAAGCTCTTCAAAGTGAAAGATAAACTTAGCAAAGAGGAAGAAACTGGTGTGATTTATAAGATCTGCTGCAGGAACTGCGACAAATACTACGTGAGACAGACTGGAAGAAAGCTTGGCACAAGGCTACACGAACACAGCCTAGCCATTCGTCGCCACGATCAGAACTCCCTGATGTCAGTGCATATGGATGTCGAAAACCATCAATTCGATCTAGAGCACGAAGTATCCTCGAAATCGCTAAAAGCCGGCAAGCACGTGAGTTCATTGAAGCCTGGCATTCAAAGCAGAACTCGATCAATAAACACCGGCCAACGGAAACAATTCACAGTAAGCTCTTCAAAGTAGAAGATAAACTTAGCAAAGAGGAAGAAACTGGTGTGATTTTTAAGATCTGCTGCAGGAACTGCGACAAATACTACGTGGGACAGATTGGAAGAAAGCTTGGCACAAGGCTACAAGAACACAGCCTAGTCATTCGTCGCCACGATCTGAACTCCCTGATGTCAGTGCATATGGATGTCGAGAACCATCAGTTCGATCTAGAGCACGAAGTACCCTCGAAATCGCTAAAAGCCGGCAAGCACGTGAGTTCATTGAAGCCTGGCATTTAAAGCAGAACTCGATCAATAAACACTTGGACATTGAAGTCGCTTACGAGGCACTGCGAACCAGGCACCTGAAGCCGCACTGATAATGTCGTCTAGTCAGGCAACGGAACGTCTGCACAATAATCACTCAGCTCGGAGAACAGCACCAAATCCATATGCTGACAGTGTTTACTTGGGTGTGTGGCTCCCAGGACACCAGTCCGCATGAGTCAGTTGACTGACCATGTGCTAGACCCGCTGCCTTTCGTGTGTAGATCTAATAGAAGGCTTTGGTAGAGGACCCGAGTCGTTCTCCTGTCAGTTGTGGGCGCCTTGCTAGTATCATTCCAAATCCCATCCTCTTCGGAGGTTGGGAAGTGGTCGATGGCTTTCTTCCCGTAAAACCTAGACATGGATAACAGGCCCACGGGTTATAAGTCCACAGCTCGATTGGGGCAGAGCACGAGTGCCACGCAGTGTCTCTGACGGTGGCAGGGCACCTCCGGGTGCTTAATAGTTTGCTACGGCCCGTCCCAAGCCATGCAGCCCCATGTCAAATTGGTGGAAACCCGCCAAAACCCACTTGCGTCTGGCCATGGTCGCAGGTGCGTATCTTATTACGGTCGCAAAACATATATGAATCGCTCCTGTGCCTCAAAGACTGCGTGTGATGGACCTCAAGCAGATCCCAATTTATCTCTGCAAACACATTCCCGAACTGGATCTGCTCCCCACTGCCTTGTGAGTCAGGCTATTGAACCAAAGGCTCCGGGCGGAGTCCCTCAAGCAAACCTCCAAACCACTCACTGCCTTGTGGGTCAGGCTATTGAGCCAAAGGCTCCGGGTGGAGTCCCTCAAGCAAAACTCCGAAGCACAACCACCAACTCGCGTGTGATTGCGCACCAGTGCAATCGTATGCCTGCGCGCAAAGCACTCAGCATCGGGTGCTGGAACGTGCGCACACTACTGGACCGGAACTCGGGTGAACGCCCCGAGCGATGCATTGCACTGGTCGCGATGGAACTGACGCGTTACAACATCGATATCACGGCGCTCAGTGAGAGCCGGCTTGCCGAGGAAGGCTAGTTGCAAGAAGCCGGTGCTAGCTATACGTTCTACGGGGCCGGAAACGTCACCTCAGCACCACGTGAACATTGGGTCGGATTTGCAATATCCGATCGCCTCCATGGCCAGCTCGTGGGCGAACCAACTAGCATCAGCGCGAGAATGATGACCGCTCGTCTACAACTCGGAAGAGATAAGTTTGCCACTTTTATAAGCACGTACGATCCGACCATGCGTTATCCTGATGACAAGCGTGATCAGTTCTACACTGAGCTATCCTCCGTGATACGGTCTGTGCTGAGAAGCGACCGACTATTTCTGCTGGGTGATTTCAACGCGCGCGTCGCGCGTGATGCATCAGCGTGGACAGATGTTATCGGTGCGCATGGCATTGGTTCAGCAAAAGCGAACGGTGACAGGATGCTCGCATTGTGTGGCACTTACAGCCTGACGATCACGAACACTCGGTTTGCATTGACTTGGACACACCAACGGAGTGGTCACGCTTACCTGCTCGACTATGTCATCGTACGTCAGTGTGACATGCGTTAAGTGCGCATGACACGTGTACTGCGTGGAGCTGAGTGTGGCACTGCTCATAAGTTGGTGCGGACCAGACTGTACCTCTATTTTCATAAAGCTATGTACTGCACTCCTGCCGTAAAACGGCGGAAATACAACGTTCGTTCCATAGGAAGTCTAGAGAAACGTATTGAGCTGGAGGCGATGGCTGCACGCCTGCGTAATGTGGAATGCATAGCCACAGTGCGCGACCTGTGGCACCACATTCCCGATCAGGTGACATCTGCTGCCTAGGAGAACATCGGGCGCGCAAACTGTAAGCCGCCCTATTGGTTTGATGAAAACAATGCGACGATTGGCGCACTGGTGTCTGAGAAGAATGCAGAATTTGCTGCACATGTGGCAGACCCCAGTGACTTAGGGAAGAAGAGAAAGTTTGGCAGAATTCGACGACAACTGACCCAAGAGCTCCGTCGCATTAAAATGCATGGTGTACGGATAAGGCGAAGCAGATGGAAAACTACACCGTACGCCGTCAACACAAGGAATTCTTCGACTCCTTGAAGGCGGTGTGTGGGCCGAGGTTGGAGCCACTGAGGACGCTAATCGATGGTAGCTCAGGCGCTACCTGCACACAGACTGCAGACATAATGCAGATCTGGCAAAAACAATTTGACTGTCTCTTGAACAACCGTTCAGAGATCGACTGGCCTTTTTTGAACGGCCTGAAGCAGCACGATGTGAAAGCGAGTCTGGCGGAGATGCCGACACTAGATGAGAATACTGAATACTGATTCGAAGCAGCGAGTAGAGCTTTCTCTGTATAACTGCATCGTTCGTCGCCCTTAGACAGATACTCCTTATTTATCGTTCCGCTCTATATATTTTGCCTCTGCAAAGTGTTTGTCTAGGAGCTTCTTAAATTCGGACACTGTGTTCGCCTCTACTGTGTGCTGCGGCAGGTCGTTCCAGACATTCACCACTTTGCGTTTGAAACAGAGTTGGTGAGCGACCCGCTTCAACTTCGGTACGATAAGTTTATACCGGTGTCCTCGCGTGCAGCTTGGTGTGCGCAGATGAAGCAATTGTCTCAAGATGGGGTAATCACTCAGATGTAATATCCGGTGCGTCATGATGAGGTCAACTCTCAGTCGACGATAAGCTAGGGTGTACAGTCTTAGTTTCTTCCATCGGTCTTCGTATGGCATACCTCGTAAGTTGGGAATCAGCCTGGTAGCTACATGCTGCACCAGTTCAAGCTTTTCTACCTCGCTCAGCGTGATGGGACAATATGCGGGAGAGCCGTACTCTAGCATTGGTATTATCGAG